ACTAAAATACGTTTGCGGCACTTACAGTGGGAAAGGGAAAAAATGAAGGTTCGCCTTGCTACTCAAACCATTAGTAAGAGTGTCAGCGATGCGATAACTTTTTTGAGGGAAGATTTGAAAATTGAGCAATTTTCTGATTCTGAGGCAACTTCAGAGTTTTTATTGAAATTCAATAATCTTTTTGATATCCTGAACTCTAGAAATAGGTTTAATAAATATATCTATAAAAGACCTCTCTCCCCTCAAACTATTCCACTTTTTTTAAATTTTTTTGAGGAAATGAAAAATTACATTTTTAATTTAAAATTGAAAGGTAGGCCAATTCTGAATTCTGGTAGGAAAACGGGGTTTTTGGGATTCTTAATTTGTATAGAGAGCATCAAAAAAATGTATACTGATTTAGTAGAGGGCAAAAAAATTTTAAAATATATTTTGTCATATAAATTATCGCAAGATCATTTAGAACTATTTTTTGGGGCAGTTCGAAGTCGTGGTGGGCATAACAATAATCCTACTGCTCGACAATTTGAAGCCGCTTTCAAAAGATTATTGGTTCACAATCAAATAACTGGACCCGAATCAGGAAATGCTGCAAATCTGACAAATATAACAATTTTGGCGTGCTCCAATAAAATAACAAAGCAAAAAACCTCTGAATATTCTTTAGTATTAGAAGATATAAACAAAGAAATTGAAACAAATTTTTTGGGATCAAATGCATGGGACTTGACTTTATATTCTGAAGATATTGTGGCGTACATTTCAGGATATGTGGTGAAGAGCATGAAAAAATGCGTCAGCTGTAGTACATGTTTGGGTTTATTGGAAAGCGACTTATCAAAATCACTTCTTTTAGAACGAAAAAAATATGGTAAATTACATAAAGGCAGTCACTTAGTAATAGAAACATGTAAAACAGCGGAACGGTTTTTTAGGTTCTTCCATAAAACGAAAAACATTTTCAACAAAAATATTAAAAATATTAGTGATACTTTAATAATAAACAGTTTGAAGGTATTACCATCTTCCATCTGGGACTGTCTTGGGGATCACGTTTTTGATAACGAAATATTGAGCGACCACCACATTCAACTGGTCAAACTCATATTAAAAAATTATTTCAAAATTCGTATTTATTATGAAACTTTAAAAAAATTGGATTCTGATAAACGAAACAGGACAAGAAGCCTTAGCACAAAATTAGTATTATTCAGAAATGAATAAAATGTTATTTTTGTATAATACCTACATGCAGTAAGTTCATAAAATCCAGCATAAATTTATTATTTTAGTCTTTAGAATAGGCAAAACTTTTGAGAAATCGCTCAGACACGTCAATTCTGTTAGAAATCTTTTCATATATTTTGTATTAGGGTGCCCCAAAAATTGCACAGTAAACAAAGTTGATTTCAACACAGCTATTTTTGGAAAACCCTGGATAATAAAAAAATATGGATTTTTTTTCTAACAACATTGATTTGTCTAAGCGATTTTTCAAAAATTTTGCCGTTTTAATAGTTATTTGTATACTAAGGCCGCGAAATGCCTTTTTAGCGTACGTATAGAAAACTTATCAACTATAAGAATTATTTAAAGTTACAGAAACACTGTATGGATTTGACACATTTGTAAGTAAGGTGTGGCGGCCGCTGAAGCTCATTTCGCGGATGGCTGCACATAATAGTTATTTGTATACTGAGGCCACGAAATGCCGTTTTAGCGTACGTAAAGCAAAGTTATCGCCGAGGGCGTCTGCGGCCAACCAAGGTAAGATAATCTCGAGGACGCTAAAAAGTTTCGCAGTCATGGTATATTTTTTGTGATTGTAAAAATTATGTGAAGTTACAGAAAAACTTTTTGAATTTGACACATCTTGCACGTAAGGTGTGGCGGCCGCGAAAGCTCATTACATGGGCTGTTGCACAAAAAAATGATTAATTTATGCGGGGACTTCATTGTATAATGAGAGATTTTTAATGTAACAAAGAAATTGTTCTATAATTTGCCCATTTATTAATAAATTATATCTTTTAAAAATGCTCGACTTTTTCTCTTGAATAAAATAGGTTAAGTTATTCAAATTTGGAAATAAAAGTTTTGAAATACGATCGAGGCTTCTATTATCAAAGGCCTACTATAGCACAGAAGAATTTTTCCAAGATGCTTTCTTGTGACTGTCTGAATATAATTTGTAGTTTTATTCAATGACTTCTATGTCTGTTGACTTTACGTTTGTGCAATTTTGATATTTTGTATTTTATATTTTAGAATGAACATGTTTTTGTATTTATGTTGATTTATGTTTATATTTATGTTGATTTTTAAAGTGACTTCATCTTTTGTTTTAATGTCTGTTTAAATGATTTTATTGTTTTAGTCTGACCTTGTATTGTATTTTTATTTTGATTATTTCAATCTTGGTACTCTATGGCCCTGGAATTATTTTTGTATAATGTTTTTTTTTTTCCCCCTTTTACAGCTTTGTCAACGAGAATTTTGTTCTTAGACAATAAAGCATTTTTTGACTTTGACTTTGACTTTGACTTTGATCCTCTACCTATTTTCCCTTTATTTCATTTTTGTTAGTTTATTTATAATTCATTAATTTGTAAATCGGTGAGCAGTAACCAGTACGCCACTGGCGGCATAACAAGTCACAACTTCTACAGCGTTGCCAATAAGCTCCTTGAAGCTGACAAGGATATGTCTTTCCTTTTTGCACTCATTACTTGTTTACAAGCAATGTTGGATCGCGTTTGGAGGCATTTTATGAATGAATCATTTTGTCTCCCGAGTTCTTAGGTCTGTGATAAATACCTTAATACAGTTTTGTGATGAAAATCAATTATTTTTAAACTTTGATAAATGCTCAATTCTGTCATTTTCACGAGGATCAACAACAATAAATTATGACTACAAATTAGGAAATACTTCTTTGAACAGGGTTTCTCACATCAAGGATCTGGGGTCCTGTTTGATTCCAAAATGTCTTTCAATCTGCACATTGACAGTTTGGTTAATAATTGTAATAGGATTCTTGGACTTATCAAAAGACAGAGTACTGATTTTCATAATTATAAAACAATTGTAACTCTTTATTATTCTTATGTTGTTAGCAAACTACAATTTGCTTCTACTATATGGAGCCCCAGATACAAGAATGCCATCGATAGACTAGAAAAAATTCAAAATAAATTTTTACGATTTTTATGTTATAAAACTCATTTTTACATTGCAAATCATGACTACTCAATGGCTCGATCACATTATAAAATTCTTGAATTGGAGAAAAGACGAACCATGTCTGACATTTTAACAATATTTAAGATCGTCAATAATCTATCTAGCTCTCCAAGCATTCTTTTGAAAATTAAATTTAATGTACCTGTTCGAACACTTAGAAACCATGACTTGTTTTATATTCCATATTGTAGAACTAATTATTATCAAAACGCACCCCTAGTCAGAATGCTAAAAGCTGTTAATATACACTGTACTGATTGCGATTTAGACATATTTGCAACTAAGGGTAAGGGTAAACTCTTGGTTCTGCTGAACGATTCAACTTTTCAATGATAGAACGTCACCCTCTGAATGACAGGTCACCACACAAAATACAGTGTTGAAAATTATAAACACTCTCAAATTATGCTTGCAAAAATGGCGAGCGTTTGCAAAACATGTTTGGTTTCATCATAAATTCAACGTAGCGTTCAGCAGAACAATCGCAAACCGTTTACCAACGTTTGTATCTGGTGAACGCGGCCAATGAAAGTTGGCTACCAAAATGTTCAGTTATCAGAAATCGAGGCTTAGTTGTGACGACTAGAATTGCAACTGAGTTAAAATAACTCCCAGAGCAAGACCAAATGCTTGCGAATACTGACAGTTATGTCGCAATAACAATTTTTTTAGTAATGGTAACTAAAAAAATATAACTCACGCGATTTTCTCAGTGTAGTATGCCCCAAATTATTTTGAAGAAACTGAGAAGAGATCCAGTGAATGTAATCTAATGACATCTTCACACAGATAGACACCGCATCTCATCCATAAACTGATGTTTTTTGTGATGACAAGACAGGAGAGATGAGCTGCTTGGGGGGGGGGGGGGCGGTCATGGTGAGAATGCATCAAAGGTGTAAACAATACCCATCTTTCCCATCATTCACTTGACTAAAATAATGAATAGAAATGCGCACAGGTGCAACTCGTTATCTATCTACCTGCCTCTTACTCATAATATGATATACGTTTGATGGGGGCGTTGACTTGCCAATCGATTGCAACGCTTGTTCCGCCTTTTTCACAAAACCGGCGTTGTCAGTAGTCGTTTTTAGTGTTGAAGCTTTAATTTTTTGAAGCAAAGTGATAACAGGATAAAATATCAATTAGTAACAATCTGGCAACCTAATTAGAGGAGATACAGCGGAGGTGGATTGCTCTCCTAGATGTTGGCGGCATTTGTTTATTGTAATGATGCTGTACTGTCTATCTGTGTTAATGTCATTGATGTTATCAACTTAGCATACTCAGGAAAGCCTACTACATTAGAGCATAAATAAACAATTTGTCACAAAGGGATAAAATTAGGTTTAAAACCTAATAAAAAAATTATACAATCTGATCAACATTCCTGAGGGCATCTGGATAGAATTCCTCCAAACTTTAAAATGCCTTACTTAAGGTAGGGTAATTTCTTAAGTAAGTGTTTACCAGTCTTGAAAGAATTGTCAGACTACTCCAATAAATCTTCTGATCCTCACTGACTTGTGTACAGAAGTGGCAGAGGCAATTATAACGCGTAAATCCTACTACGGCGTTTATCTCCAAAATAAAGAGAGCTATGAGGGTTCGCTGAGCCACAAAATGCGATCTACCAAGTTCTCTCCAGTTTAAATTAACAATAAATTGAAATAAATTGAAAACAATATAAGCTGATATGTCTACTAAAAAATGCTTATTTGTTTTGAATATTAATTTTATTTATTCTATTCTAGGTTATAGAGACGGTCATTTAGTAGTTTACAGCGAGACACACATCGACATATTCAATTGCAAAACAGGCGAATGGGTCCAAACGTTGAATATCAAAAAAGCGAAACCGCTGAACGATAGCGGTAGCTTATCGTTGTGCGTGTTGCACGATATGACGCATCTTTTGTATTTATCGAATGTTCACCAACGTAAGTAAAACATGTTTAATTAGAGTTACTTGTAATGCAAAAATATGACATTTTTTTCAGGGGAACTTTTAAATTTAGAAAACATTAATACGTTAGATACCGAAGGCAGAGTGATACAGAAACCGAGACGACGATTTTCGTTGAGAGAAGGCAATAGATCAACAAGAAGGTAAGTTCTGGTTCGAAATGAATCTTCACAAATGAGAACCTCGTTTTTTTTTTTAGCAATACTGACAGACGATCAAAACTAATATCGGCGCCTACGAATTTCAACCATATTAGTCACGTAGGACCTGGAGATAGTATCCAGCAACAAAGACTGATTGACTTAACCACTAGTCTTGTCGACCAACTTCCTGAACAAATGGCTTATATACCACCAGCCCCACAACCTAGAGTAACTTCATTTTCACTGATTAACACTAGTTATACAGGGTGTACATATGTCCAGAAACGCTTCCTTTTCGAAATACAGGGTGTTGAAATTCTAAGAAAAAAACTATTTTTCTATTCTAATTTTCAAACCACTCTAGATATTTCATTGAAATTTTGTATACTGTTTTCAAGCAGCAAAAGACATTTTTTGATGTGAAATATTTGAAAAAAAAAATTATCAGTGATGTCACAGAAATAATTTGAAACTTTAGGTGTTTAATGTTTAGCATTTTTATCATAATTTTGGCGATTTCACCATGCATCAAAATGGTTCTTTATTTTTTACTTGAAAATGGTGCATCTTTCAGAAAAAAGTGTAGAGATCAAATTTGTTCCAAAGTAAATGGGGATTTCAAAAATGATTTTTATTTTAGGAAAAAGCAGTGGCGTAGCATTTTTTTCTAGAAAAATATTCCATAGAAATCTGATACGGACGTCACTGGTAATTTTAAAAAAAAATATTACTTCACATCAAAAAATGTCTTTTGCTGCTTGAAAGCAGTGTACCTACAAAATTTCAACGAAATATCTAGAGTGGTTTGAAAGTTATGATTAGAGTTCGGATTAAAAAGCATAAAAAAAAGTTAAAATAAGAAGCATATAATTTTTCACAAAAAAAGCATGGAATATGCATAAACAAGGCAAAAAAAGCAAAAAAAGTTCAATAAAAATGTATTGTTTATCTATAAAATACACAATAAAAAATGTAATAGGCAAACATTAAAATAAACAAAAGAAAAAAAAAATATTGTAAAAACAAGCAATAACTAAATGCTGACTTAAAATGTTCCATATAAAGTAATTAAGTTTCAAATAAGAAACTTTACTTTTTAAAAACTTTATTTTAATTAACTAAAGTAAAAGTAAAGTAACATATGAAGACTGGTGGAACTAGTTGCTGCTGCAAAGCATGAAAGCAAAAGAACAATTGTGCATGGCTGCACCGCTTTTTATAAACAATAAATGCAAGCTAGCAATATTCACTAAAAACGTCAACAATTGTGATGTCATCGTGGGCGAGCAATTAGTATGCTCCTTTAAAGCAATAGATTGATTAACTAATAAACATTAGTTGATATGGGAATCGTTCAATATAACTCCTCCCACCTTAAGATGTTGCAAATTCGGGTTGTTTTGATTGATGACCCAAATCTGACAATTCGATTTGCACATTTGTTGAAGTTTTCTTCTTTTTACAAAAATAGTATGCTGAAACTAAAAATATGATTACAATGCTTAAACCTATGATTATATAAGTATTAGTATAATTGTAAGAATAGTTAAGTTCTTTCAAAGGTTGAACTTCTAACTTCTTTGCTTCTTCAAAGGCTTCTTGAAGTGTCTCGTGGTTTAATTCTTTGATCTTGAGCGTAGTAATATTTTCTGCTAGATCTGGTATGTCCATTTTTGGTATTTTCAACTCAAAGTTGAAATTTTCATTTATCTTTTTAAATGTCTGATTGTTTATTGTTATCCGACAAGTATCGAGAGTGATTAGAGTTGGTTTCATCAATATGTCCATGTGACTAATTTTATCACATTTGGTAACAAGGGTTTGACTCTTTTTGGGTATGATCAATAGTTGACCATTTGCGAGTTGTTTAGTTGTTGGTTCTTCGTAATGTATTTTTACGAATGAGCACTTCTGTTGTCCGTCAGTAATTAGACTGTAGACGCATGGTTCTTCTTGTTTAAGCATTTCTTCGTTACACAAGTATATGTTTTCGACTCTTGGGCATTCCCATTGGATATTATAATATGAGTCCGTAGTAAGTATCAAGTAAGGGAACTTAATTCTAACCGTGAGGTTTTGGATTGGGATAGGATATAATTTATACAAAAGAAAAGGTCTTGGGTCAATAATAGGTGTATAAATTACAAATATTATAAGTTCGTTTTGGATTTTAACTTGTGTTTTCATAGTTTCAAAATATTAGATTACGTTGTCAAATGGAATCTGCTGTTGTTTAGGTATATTATGCAGTATTTGATTCAGTTCATTATGTTGAAGGATCGTATAATGCATAACTCCTAGCTGTGCAAAATTAATAGCAAGTTGAATATGATCTATTAAATTTTGTATCTTATTACTTTGCATGTTTATGTTGTTCAATATCAAATTGAAGTTTAACATGGTGTGAAAATTATGATTTTCATTAGTAATATTATCAATTTTCTCTGGTAAGAGCTTTTGATTAGCTTCAACATTTAAGAATTGGTCATGGAATGTTTTTGTGACTTTCCTTAATACTTGTGCTTGTTTTTCTAGATTTTTATTAATAGTACCTTGATTTTCATTTAAGATTTGAATATATGAATTGTATTTAGCACCATCTTCTGAATCTAAAGTACCATAGAGCCATTTCTGAGCTGTTCCCATAAAATTGAGAAGTCCTCTTTTGCTTCTTTTATTACCAATAGTCTTAACCGTTTGTTGCATTAAGTCTACTTGTAATTGACTTTTTTTAATGTTTGTTTGGAACAGAGTGGACCATGTTGTTTTATTCAACATTTGTGTTAATTGATATAATGAACTCAATGTTGTTTCTAATTTATGTATTCCTTGTAATATGATAGTTGTATTGATATGATAAAACGCAGTATTGTGTTGTATGGTCATATAAGTATTTCCTAAGGAAATTGGTAAAATTGGGTTTTCCAGCGAGGTCATCGTATAGGCGTGGGCAATTCCTATTACCATAAGGGACGTTAGGACGTTCATTGTCTTTCACCTGAAATAGGATATTGTCTCTTTACATTTTGTTTACTAAAATGTCTTTGTGTTTGTTTATCGTATCGTGGACTTATTTTGTTTCTATTGAATTGCTTTACATAGATTGGGTTTTGCAATTCGGGTTCAATTTCTCGATTCTCATTACGTTTTTCGAGTACTTTAGTTTGTTTTGATGTTAATTTATTCTGAATTTCTCTATTAAGAGTAGCTAATGAGTCCGCTAGATTATTAATATAATCAGTAGTTATTTTATTTTCTGTTTGTTCAATTGGAATTGCATAATTTAAATCACCCTTTATTATTTGAAAAGGAGTAAACTCAGTTGTACTGTGCGTACTATTGTTGTAATTTAAAATTGCAATTACCATTAAATCGATAACATTTTTTGTTGGGTTTTGAAGTTTAAGAGTTGTTAAACTTTCGCGTAAAGTTGAATGAAATCTCTCGATTTGGCTATTAGAGTTGGGATTTCTAGGTGTTATGTAATGAAATTCAATATTGTGTAGTGTACAAAGGTCAGTTATAATAGTGTTTTTGAACTCAGTACCATTATCTGAAGTTATTTTCTGGGGGATTCCGTGGCCACTAAAATATTTTAGGAGTTGTGATGTTATTTCAACAGCTGTTTTAGTATTAACGGGAAGGGCTTGGCCAAATTTTGAAAAACTGTCTATAATCGTTAAAAATTTTTGATTATTACTTATGTACGTGTCAACATACAAATGTTCAAATGGTTTTGAACCAATTGGTGTAGGTTTGAACATTATTTTGTACGGGTGTCGTTCATATTTGGTCTTATTGCATATCTCACATGCTTTAACGTATGTTTGTACATCTTTCTCGATGTTCGGCCAATAAAATCTTTTCTTTAGTGCCGCTACGTTTTCAGTTATTCCTCTATGGGATGTCTTTGTTTCATGATACAATTTTAGTTTCTCTTGTTGTTCATCAATTTCGGCTACGTCTTCGACTAGCGAGTTAGATATATACAATTTAAATGAATTTGCATTAAATGCTGACTGCAAGGCTCGTAATATTATAGGTTCTAGTGTCTTATTTAGAAAATGAAGACAGTATGTGTCAGGGGCCATATATTCTTTAACTAAATTGACTATTTGGTCATTTGATGGATTGTTTGGTAGAAAGAATATGATTCTCTTTTTATTAGGAAAAGGCTTAATAATTTCTTTCCTAATTGTATTATTATTTGAGTAGCGAAATATCACTTGATTAGGGAAGAGATTCACATGTTTCTTCGTATATGAAGCACCTATAATTGGATTTTCCAAGGATGTATGTATAGTTTGTTCTTCCGAAGGTGTCGATATTTTTTCTTCATCTTCTGAGTTTGTCGAGTTTGTCCTTTGTTTAGGTTTTATTGTAAGGGTTTTTTCTTCTTTATTATATATTTTTGAACATTCTCCCTGTTCTATTGGAATTTCTTTCTTCTTCTTTGGAGGGATAATTACTTGTGAAATTATTTTAATCTTTGGTGCATTTTCTTTTTCAGATGCAGTTTTTGTTGATTCAGTGTGGTCTGATGTTAGTTTGCGCAGATATGGTTTTGATTCCGTGAAATATTTTCTAATTATTTCATCATTACATAAAGGTGTGTCTCTTAACATATCTCCTAATTTATTGTGAAATTCTTCATCAGTTTGTGCTGTTACTTTCGCATCAGGATCTGATGATGATGAGGTTTGAAGTGTATTTATTTGTAAAGGTGGTCTTGATAAAGCATCCGCGTTCATGTTAAGGGTTCCTTTTTTATATTTAATTTCATAGTCAAATTCGGATAACTTAAGTCGCCATCTTACTAATTTAGAAGTTGGTTCCTTTACGTTGAATAACCACTGTAGAGGTTTGTGGTCCGATAAAATAGTAAATTTTCTTCCGAAAAGATACGGTCGGAAGTATTTGGTTGCCCAAACAATTGCTAAAAGTTCTTTCTCTATGGTTGAGTAATTGCATTCTGCAGGGTTCAACGTACGACTTGCATATGCGATAGGAAGGTCAGAGCCGACAGGGCCTTGAGATAACACTGCTCCTATAGCATAATTTGATGCGTCAGTTGTTAAAAGAAAAGGTCGATTAAAATCGGGGTGTTGTAATACGGGATCATTTACCAGGATATTCTTGCATGTTTCAAAACTTTTTATAAATTCCACATCATGAATTATCTTCTTGTCGTTTTTCAAGCATACCGTCATTGGTTTCGTTAATTTAGCGAAATTCTTAATGAATTTTCGGTAGTAACCTACTAATCCTAAGAAAGATTTTATCTCTTTGACAGTTCTTGGAATTGAAAATTCCTTTATTGCCTTTATTTTGTTCGGATTAGGTTTTATACCGTTTGGCGTTATCACATGTCCTAGAAATTCTACTGTTCTTTGTAAAAATTCAGACTTATCGAGTTGAATTTTTAAATTATATTGTTGTAGTTTTTCAAATACTTGTTTGAGGTTTTTCACATGTTCTTGAAGTGAAGTCGAAAATATGATGATGTCATCCATATATACAAGACATATTTTGTTTTGCAATCCAGATAACACATTATCCATCGCTCGTTGAAAGGTTGCTGGTGCATTTTTAAGTCCGAATGGCATTCGAGTAAACTCATAGTGTCCATATTCAACATTAAATGCCGTCTTAGGTATAGAGTTGGGGTGCATCTCTACTTGATGGAATCCAGATGCGAGATCCAATGTTGTGAAATAATTGCTTCGTCCTAATTTATCCAGTAAATCTGAAATGTTCGGTATTGGGTACCTATCGTCAATAGTTTTCTCGTTGACTTTGCGATAATCCACTACCATTCTCCATTTCTGTATGCCAGAAGCATCTTTCTTTTTTGGCACTATCCATACTGGTGAGGACCATGGGCTGCACGAGGGTTGAATTATATGTTCATCCAACATTTTTTTTATTTGTTGGTTAATCTCGTTTTTATGTATATGAGGATACCTATAAGTTTTTGTATGGACGGGTATTTCATCTGACGTTCTGATTTCATGTTTAACCTGATTCGTGAAGGTTAACTTATCATCGGGTTTATAAAAAATCTCCGGAAACGCCCGTACTACATTCTGTAATGCATTTAATTCCTCTTTATTTAAATGCTGAGTACGTAAAAATTCTATTGGATTATTATCATATTCATGTGGGTAAAACGACGTTACTTGTTCTATATTAAATGTCTCAAAAGCTTCTTCATTATAAATAAAACTTGCTTCTGCTAGGTCATCTATATGCGTAGTAAGAACAAAAGGTTTATCTGTTAGATTATGCACTTCTAACAAAGCTGTTCCATTTATAACCTTAGCTATTGTTTCTGGTATCATGTATTTATCCGTTTTCACTTGAGGTATTAAAATCTCAGTATTTTCAAGGATGTCTGTATTAAAATGACAAAGTTGAATAGTTTTTGCTGAAATTTCTAAATTTTGGGTATCAAAGTCTGTTCTAAATTGAAATGGAATTGTTATTTCTTCATTACTAAGGCACATATTTGTAAAGTCGATATTTAAATTATTTTCTTGTAAAGCTTTAATTCCTATAATACCGTCAAAATAATCATGAAAATTATACATTGTCATGTCAATATCCTGATCAATATTAAATTCATGTAAAATTGGAATTCTCACTTTACCATGGGCTTTTCTTGTTCCCATACATGTAGTAAGTTTATTTAAAGAGTTCACTATGAAATCTGGGAAGTATTCTTCCGCTATTGAAGGTCTTATTAATGAAGCATAACTACCTGTGTCTATTAAAAGCTTACAAGGTGGATCGAAAGTTTCAATAAAAGGTAGTTGATTGACTTGGTATGCATTTAAAGTCAATGCTGATTGTTGGATTCCAAGGCTAGTGTCTGAAAATGTTCATCAGGGCTTTCTTGGTAATCTTGACTTATTTGATCGTCATTTATTTCTGAGTTTTCGGGTATTTCTCCGAATTCTGAACTTTCATAGTTCTCAGAAGTTTCGTCTGGTTCTTGTAATTGAATTCCATATATATTATTTATTTCCTCAATGGTGTATTTTGAAGGACCTGCATTGGGATCTGGTCGAAAATAATTTGATTGTTGGGGTTGAAAACCTCTTGAAAAATTTCGTCTATTAATTTGGGAATCTTGTCTTCTTGGTTGAATAGATACACCAGACATAGGTGTCGGTTTTGTTAAGGGAAGGTTATTGTTTGGTTTAAAAACATTTGTTTTGTTGTAATTTTTACCAAACGTACCCGAACTAGTAGGGAATTTATGGGTTATTGCTTTTGTCTGTAAGTTTATTGGTTGTGAAGGAAATTGTGGCTTCACATGGAAATACGGGTTTTGTTGTCTTTGTTGTTGTTGTGTATTGTTTTGTTGGTGTTGAAATGTTTGGTTATTTTTTGTCTTAAAATTCGAAAAGGAATTATTTTGATTTTTGTTAAATTTCATATGATTCTCAGCCATCTGATAGTTTAGTACAAAAAATGTTGCTGCGTCTAATGTTATAGGATTCTGAACCATTAAGATTGTTCTAAGCTCAACTGGTGAATTTGTTATCAAATTCTGTACTGCTGTAACTTCATTTTGAGCTACAAGAATATTTGCAACTGCTAACAAATTACTGTCACACATTATTTTTGAAGTAATTCTGTGATTAAGAGCTTTCAATCTTTCTAAATATTCATAAATTGATTCCTTTTGGTTTCTTGATGCATACATTAATTCTTGAATCAAATTTTGACGAGAATAAGGATCTCCATATTTAATTCTTAGAGCTCCTTTAATATCTAACCATGATTTTAAATCTGGACGTGTCATCAAAAAATTTCCAGCATCATTGATAAGCTTTGATTTTATCGCAGTTATTACATATTCTTTTTGGGCAGGATCCCCTACATAATAAGTGTGATAAAATTCATCAATATTACTAATGAAATACTCTAGATATTGAGTTTCGCCACCAAAAGGCTTCAAAAGCTGAACTATGGATTTCAAATTTTCACCCATGTTTCTGTTTTGTCTTGTTGATTGAATATTAGGTCTTAATTGATATAATTGACTTAGATATTCTTCGGTATCTGATTCAGATTCAGACATAAAAGAAAACTTTAATTAAACAAGTTTTATTTTAGAATTAAAAATTAAAAATTAAAATAATAGGAATAAAGAATGTTTTATCCAAAAATAAAAAGTAGATTTTCTTGAAAAAAAAAAAAATAGGTTAAAACCTTTGCAAAAGAATTCAAGAAAAATCCAAAAATAACTCTTAAATATGAAACACCAATAACAAAATATTAGGGAAAGGTTTACTTACTAGGCTCGATGCTAATAACAGTAACACTCTCACTATTTATACGTTGGTTCTCAATGTCTCTTATGTCCAGTTAACACCAGGTGAAGTGGACAGGAATTTCCTCAAATTTCACTCCAATGATCACTGTAATCCAGGTTTCACTGCAATCCAATTTTCACTGTAATCCAAGTTATCACTTATAGATTCAGTTCGATTGTCTTTAGTAATTCGCGGGTCACGATCTCGAAATTCGGAAAAACTTGTGCACTCTGAACATCCGGTTTTTTACGAAAAAAACTGTAAAAAATTATCCGCACGACTGCGCCAATTAAGTTTCAAATAAGAAACTTTTTTAAAAACTTTATTTTAATTAAAAGTAAAAGTAAAGTAACATATGAAGACTGGTGGAACTAGTTGCTGCTGCAAAGCATGAAAGCAAAAGAACAATTGTGCATGGCTGCACCGCTTTTTATAAACAATAAATGCAAGCTAGCAATATTCACTAAAAACGTCAACAATTGTGATGTCATCGTGGGCGAGCAATTAGTATGCTCCTTTAAAGCAATAGATTGATTAACTAATTAACATTAGTTGATATGGGAATCGTTCAATATAACTAAGTCACTTAAAATGTTTTTGTAGTCGGAAAACTTCTTTCTATGTCAACAGTTATGGACGCATATTTAAATTCTGCAACCACATCTGTGTTCATTTGTAACTCGTCAGTACTTCCTACCTGCAGTATCATATCATAGTATCATCTATTTTTGGGATAGGGTTTCACGCGTATTACCGATTTTTAAAAGAAGAAACAAAGCGGGTGGAAATTTTTTCGCCTAACTTTCAATCTCAATAATTTTGGAACCAAACCAAATATCGACCTGCGGTTTTCACGGACAGATTGTCTTTTTGTGAAAAAAATTGCTATATGAGAACCAGAGGTCGATATTTTGGTTCCAAAAGTTTGAAATTTAGGCGAAATTTTCCTTTTGCTCAAAAGTAATTGTCCAGCAGTTCACTTTTGCAGTACAAAAAATCTAAAAAAAGCTGTGAATAAGCACGAACCACGAAAATAAGCATAAAATTTGAAAAAAAAGCAAAATAAGCATTAAAAATAGTGCATTTTCGACAATTTCTTTGCTTAATTCGTAAATATTTTGAGTTGTCTTATATTTGCTTGTAATATTAACAAAAAGCCGAGCAAAAAGCATAATGTCTTCAAATCCGGACTCTAGTTATGATAGAAAAATAGTTTTTTTCTTAGAATTTCGACACCCTGTATCTCGGAAAGGATGCGTTTCTGGACCTGTCACCTATGTTCATATAGGAAGCTAGGGTTTATTTTCGACGTAGAATATGCCATAAAAATTTGGTGCATCAATTTCGGAACACCCTGTATATAGGATTCATGACATGCTCCTAATTTTCCAAGATTGTATAGAGTTTTTTTTTTTTAAACTACTTGTTTTTCTTAGCCGACCAAACAAGCTCCCCTACCTCCAGTTCCTGCGGGCGGCAAGCCCCGTCCCTGGGAGATTTCGAACCCGATGCCCCTACGACCCGCCCCTCATCCTCAGGCGTATAACGGAGCGAAAAGGGCGGCCCCGCCTCGGCCTCGAGATTTGCCGCCCGCGCTGCCTCGAGCCTCTGACACGTCGCCCTCGCCCGATCCTGCCAGCATAGGAAGCATGTCGTCACTTCACGATATGATCAAGGTAAGATAGACTTTTGGAAATAGTTTAGAATATCGTACTAGAATATATTAGCAGATTCAATATTTATTGTTTATTTTATAAGTACCGAGTACTGTCCAGTTACAATTTCTTTAGCTAGTGAAAAATCTTTTCAAAATATAGGTTGGAAAACACAAGGCCACCTTATGACAGAGGAGGAGAATGAAGAATAACGTGTTTACAATTTGTCTTCATTCCAGTTAGATTTGTATGTTGTTTTGGTTTTGAGTTTTCACGTCTAACACAAAAATATATTAACCTGGATGTTTTATTTTTTTTTTTTTTGAACAAATTTGAACAAGCAGCAAATTAACAATTGAGTTGTGTGGTTTTTGAATTAATTTAGTTTTAGATTGCCTCTATAATGATTTCAAATTTATCTGTTAAACTAGAAACTATGTGGGTTAACGATTCAATAATATTTGCGTGATCACAATGACTTTTTATTTGCCCATGAATGATCACATTAGGTTACATCAGACTCCTCCTTATTTCTACATTTCTATTTGATTTTCGCTATCAGTCAATTTCTGATCATTGTTTAACGATGTGGAGCTTTAAACAAATCGGTTATGGTGGGTTTCAATACTCTCCAGGAAAAGCTGTTTGCCATCTATTTTGCTTTCAAATTGTAAAGTTATGATAATATGTAGGTTATCAACAAAAGTATGGAAACAATCCATACTTCCTGCATCTCCATCCCGCAAAATGGAAATGTCGTCGTTATACATATAAAAGAACACTTCCCAACACTCACTTTTTTAAATCATACCTGAAATTATCACTCAAGAGATGGGATAAATACCACATATAAATACAAATTTATCTCCAAACTAGTTAGTTGTCTATAAAATCCATTTTTAAATTTAAGTTCTGTTTCAACTTTCAACACTGTAGAAAAATTAAAAATGGACCCTTGAGGAAGCAACTTCTATATCCAAATAGGAAGCGACATATTCTGAAGATATTCTATTTCTAACATTCGAATATCCTCCAGACAACCCAGGAATATACATTCTCGTAGGAATATTCCTCCTAGAATCCGCAAATGGAGCACTGAAAAATTGATTTAGAATACAGGGTGTCCCACGGAGGATAGCGTACTACACGTTTATGGAGAACTAAAAAGCGGATCATTTTAAAGATTTGGCAACCGGGATAAACGACCATACATAATCTACACTTTGAAAATATTTTTGTTTATGCGGTGTCGCCGCTTCTACTCTTAACCAGTGGCAACATCGCTATTTTAAATGGAACACCCTGTATGTGATTGCATATTTGTATTCTACGTAAAATTCCAAGCAGATTTCATGTGATAACCCCATACCTAAGTACAACTGTTTTGGAAATATTGACAGTTGAAAAATTTACTTTTCACAACTTTGATATGCTGTAGAGCCTAAACGGTTAATTTTAGAGGAAAAGCGATTTCACATTCCTATCTTAGATTTTCTCTCTGTGTTTACCAGGACACTATTATCATTAGTATACTGAAGCTTACAGATTTTTTTTTTTTTTTTTTTTACGGATATGCGCACTCGCAAGGAAATGTCCTATCACGCTCGAGAAGCGGCAAGTGCGCGGAAATGTCGGTGTATGTTGGTCTTGAAACGGTTCAGGTTGTAACCTGCAGGGAAAACCGTCGCAGGGAGTTTATTCCACAGCGATGCTGTTCTCCAGAGATATGAATTCTGATATAATGAGGTTCTTGGTGCCTCTAGTTTGACAGTAAATTCATGGTTACCGTCTGTTTGACGGGTTCGCCTGGTAGGTGCTACTCTCGGTGGAATCATACGTGCCAACTCTTCAGAGCATTTTCCGTGATAGTACCTGTAGAAGAGAGATAAATCGCCCACAGATCTGCGATGTTCGAGACCATCCAAGTTACGAGTAAGTGCGGGGTCATTGATCAGCTTGATAGCTCGTTTTTGCACGGTATTCAAAAGCATTAAGGTATGTTTGGGCGCTGCACTCCATATATGTGAGCAGTACTCCATAGTTGGTCGAATCTGGGCTTTGTAGAGTGTCAGCAATTGGCTTGGTGTGTACAGATGTCTTGTACGAAATAGCACCCCCAGCTTTTGGGAGGCCCTTTTAGCAATATCTGCCACGTGATTGTGCCAAGACATGTTGGTCTCTGCAGTAACCCCCAATATGTTCAACTGACTCTGTAATGTGACAGCACTTCCAGATAGCATGATGTTTGGCTCACCGGTGCTGGTCTTTTTTGAAAACAGAGCTGCTTGGGTTTTCTGCGCGTTGAACTGTACAAGGTTTTTGTTACCCCAGTCCTCTATTATCTCCAGGTCGTTATTTATCTGCGATATTTGAGTTAGTCTAAGATAATGGAATTCACGTGCGGAAAGACCTATGGGTGGTATGAGTGAGGAGACTACATTGCCATCGTCTGCAAAGCAATAAAGTGGATTTACTGTTTTATCTATGAGGTCATTTATGTAAATCAGGAAAAGAGTTGGCGAAAGGATTGCTCCCTGTGGCACACCAGCATTTATTTGGTAAGAGTTGGAGTTCTGGCCATCCAGTGCAACATAAATGGATCTGTCCTTTAGGTAACTTTCAAACCAAGTGCAAAGTTTCGGCGATAATCCCATTGCTTTGAGCTTGTTGAGCAGATTTTCATGCCAAACTTTGTCGAATGCTTTAGATATATCTAAGGCAATTGTTCTTGTTTCACCCCGCAACTCAATCGCTTTTTGCCATAAGTGAGTGACGTATGTAAGTAAATCGCCAGTTGACCTATATTTTCGAAATCCGTATTGCTTATCGTTGATAATTTTGTACTTTTCCAAGTACTTGGTTAGGTGATTGTTCACAACTCTTTCCATTACTTTTGATATCACCGGAAGTAGAGCAATTGGTCTATAGTTTAACGGATCTGTCTTTTTTCCTTTCTTTGGAATGGGTTGTACTGCTGCAGACTTCCATGATGATGGATATACTCCTTGCCTGTAAGACAAATTGAATAATTTTGCGAAAGTTGGGGTGAGTTCGTTGGCGCAATTTTTGAGTACTATTGCGGGAATGCCATCCGGACCCATTGCTTTGTTTGTATCCAGCTTTTTTAGGGATTTTCGTATTTCTCTGTGACAAAAGGGTACCTCTGGCATACTATGGGAAACCCTTTCAATGAACGGTGGAGTTTTTCCGTTTGGCACTGTTAGATTGGAGTTGGAGGAAAACATTTGGGCAAGCATATTGGCTTTTTCCTCTGATGTTGTGGCTAAGTGATTATTTTTATCTGTAAGTGGTGGTATGGATGACTTGGTGAAGTTAGATCCAACAGCTTTTGCAAGAGACCAAAAAGACCTAGAACTACTTGGACAATTCAGCAACCTGTTTTTTATTCTTTGATTGTATGTTTCTTTGGCGAAGTCAATAGTAATTTTGCAACTATTTCTGGCTTCTATAAATTCTGTGTGGTTTTGAACGGTTTTTTGTCGTTTCCAAAGGTTATATGCTCTGTGTTTTTTCTGTACAGCCGTTTGACACTGGCTGTTGAACCAAGGTTTTGCATTAGCTCTACGTTTAGTTGTATGTGGGATATATGCGTCCATTCCAGATAAGATTACTTGTGTTATTTCATTACAGCAAATAGTGGGATCAGCTGTTTTAAAGCAAACCTCTTGCCATGGAAAATTCAGGTAATACTGTTTTAGGTCATTCCATTTTGCCGATTTATAGTGCCACATTTTACGAGGAAGTGGTTGTAGGCTTGGTGGGATGAGCATTTCGCACTTTGTTATTATAAGTTTATGATCGGACGAACCAAGTGGCGCAGCTACTTGAATTGTGTACGAGTGAGGATTGGTGGTTAGGAACAAGTCTAAAAGCGCTGCAAATTCGCCCCTTTCTGAGATACGGGTAGGTTCATCGACAAGCTGCGTTAGACCACAACTTATGGCAAAAGCTTCTGCTTCTCTGCCTTCGTTATCTGTTTTGTTGTGGTGTTTCAGCCAGGGTATATTGTGGACGTTGAAATCGCCTAAAAAGACAATTTCCGCCTGTGGATAATTTGACTGTATACTATCACAGCTTTCGGATAATGTCGCGAAAAAGTTTTGGAAATCGGTGTTACTTGGCGGTCGGTAGAGGCAGCAGATAAACTTGGTCGATGACTTTGAGGTGAATTTTAGCCATATGATATCAAGGTTCGCTGGTTCTAGCTTCTCCTCTCGATGACATGAAAGGTCATTTTTAATGTACACACAGATCCCAAAATTATGTCGAAATCGGTGGTGTAGGTCATAGCCGGGATAAAGATAGTTCACAATAGGTGTTGCAGAACTGATTTTAGTTTCAGTGAGAACAAGGATGTCAGGTCTTTGTTCTTCAAGATGTTGGTGAACTGAATTCATATTTGTACTTATTCCTCTTATATATTGCTAAAATCAATTCTGAGTTGAGTTTTTGATCTTCTCTTTATATCTTTGCATGAAGGACCCCCAGGATCACCCGACGCCCGGAGATCCGAGTGGTCGGGTATTTTACCTCCGGAATATTTTGATCCTGGAGGCGCCATCATGCTATCTGTTACTCATTGTTGGAACCGGACTGCCAGCGCAGTAGCGGAACGTGGTGATACCACTTAGCGCTACTCAATTCTGGCATGGTGGTATCTCACCGGTCGACGCCCAATGAGTAAAAAGCGTCTACCACCTACCAGCTTACAGATAATGTCTGCCCAGCGACTCTGTGTCTACCGGGCAACGGTAAGGGGAATGCAGTTGTAAAAAAAAAATGGCTGATTTCATTCATAAAATACCCAGCTGCGTGCGGAATTTTTTGGAAGTGTTATCGTATTGCAGCTCCTACACGAAAATCGAAAATGACCAAACCCCCGCCACTGGATATTTCCATATAAATCGATATTCCAAGATGGGAGGATACAATGACGGAAGCCCTGGCCAATAGCGAGACGTAAGGTGACGTTAGCCCATTGACAACGACATGGTTCCCCG